TCCATATGAAAGGCAAAGCCCTGAAAGATTTGAGACATATTCTCACATAGTTCATCATTCTTTTTAGCAAACAACTCTTCTGTCTCCACTCTTACTTGCTGTACAATTTGTTTAGTCATCTGCATCTGCATCTGCATCAAAGAGTCCTGTAAATCCTTTAAAGTAACATAAGGTGGTGAAGAGGGTGGAGGAGTTTTAGTCTTTGTGGAGCATATTCATCATCAGAAAATTCCACAATTTAAAATTTGGAATTGCTAAAATCAGTCATTTTTACAAAAGCACATGGCCTTTAAATCATTCAGGGACTGCAGATCTGTACATTTGGGACTGGGAACAGGAAGACTCATTCCAGGGAAACTCTCTGCCAGATCTACTGCATAAGACTCTTGTGAGATCTAATGAAGTTAAATTTCACATCAGCTTCCTTGAAGTCTGGCACGAAAGATGAGATGCAAATCCAACTTGTATAATAAAAATAAATTGCTGAGCACACCAAAGAGACACCTAAAGAAAAAGTAAAGTTTAAATTTAATTTAAATTCAATGTGCTGGAAGGAAATTTAGGGTCATATTTCTTGAGGAATTAAATATGAATCAATGTCAGTTTCTAGGAGGTAGTGTTTATTGAGCAGGCACATTTCCAAAATAAGGAATGTATGTCAAAAGGTTTAGTGACCTTTTACACATTTTTTTATGCACATGTGCACAATCAGCTGTTTTACAATCCTTTGGATATATAGACAATCACCCTTCTTCCTAAACCTTCTTTTTCTAAGGCTTTTTGTTTACCAGTCACTCTCCATTAGGCTCTCCATTAATGGGGATTTCTGGGCAAGCATTTAACAGAAAAACAGAGTTGGAAGGGATCTTGGAGGTCTTCTAGTCCAATCCTCTGCTCAAGCAAGAGACCTATACTATTTCAGACAAGTTGCTGCTTTTTTAAAAAGCCTCCAGTAATGGAGCACCCACAACTGCTGAAGGCAAGGTGTTCCACTGGTTTATTGTTCTTGCTGTCAAGAAATTTCTGATTAGTTCTAGATTGCTTCTCTCCATGGTTAGTTTCCAACTATTGCTTCTTGTCCTGCCTTCTGGTGCTTTGGTAAATAGCTTGCCTCCCTCTTCTTTGTGGCAACCTCTCAAATGCTGGAATAACTGCTATCATGTCACCCCTGGTCCTTCTCTTCAATAGACTAGAGTAGACAAACCCACTTCCTGCAACTGTTCTTTTAGCCTCCAGCCCCCTAATCATCTTTGTTGCTCTTCTCTGCACTCTTTCCAGAGTCTCAACATCTGTTTTATATTGTGGTGACCAAAACTGGATGAAGCATTCCAAATGTTGTTTTACCAAAGCCTTATAAAGCAATACTATCACTTCACATGATATTGATTCTATCCCTCTGTAAGTGCAGCCTAGAATTGCATTGGCTTTTTTAGAGGCTGAAGTACACTGCTAGCTCATATTTAATTGATTGTCCACTAGGACTCTAAGATCCCTCTCACAATTAGTACTATTGAGCCAAGTTTCACCTAATCTGTACCTATACATTTGGTTTTTCTTGTCTAAGTTTAAAACCTTACTTATCTCTACATTGAATTTTATTTTGTTAGATAGGGCCAAAGTCTGTTGAAATCCATCTGGATCTTGAGCCTAGCTTCTGGGGTGTTGGTATTCCTTCCAGCTTGATGTTGTCTGCAGAGTTGATGAGTTCCCCTTCTGTTTCCTCATCTAAATTGTTTATGAAAAAAATGAAGAGTACTGGGCTTAAGACAGAAGCTTGGGGGTACCCCACTGCTTACTTCCCTCATGTAGATGAAGTTCCATTAAGGATTATGTATTGAGTGCAATTTGTCATCCAGTTATAAACCCATCTGGTGGTGATGCGGTCTATCCCACATTTTTCTAGCTTACCAAGAAGTAAGTTGTGGTCTTCTTTGTTAAATGCCTTACTGAAATCCAAGTATACTATGTCAACAGCATTTTGCTGGTCCACTAATTGAGTCACTTTGTCAAAGAATGAGATAAGATTTGTTTTCCATGATCTGTTTTTGACAAACCTATGTTGGCTTCTGGTTATAAATTTGCTTGCTTCTAAGTGTTGTATTAGTGTAGCAATTAAGGGTTTTTAATTTTTCAAACTTATATAGCCACTCAAAACATGTGCCCCTGGGTGGCTTACAAGTATCGGATAAGGGCCAGAAAGACTGGCTTCAAATCTAATCTTAAGACATGGAAAGTCATTAAGAGTCACAATCTACCTCCCAGGGGCTGCTTGGGGGGGAAATGTAGAAGAGAGAATTGCTTGGAAGAAAAGCAGGGTAGAAATGTAAAATTTCTGGAGCCAACCAAAAAAGATTATTTAGATTGTGCACCTCCAAAAAACCCCAGCTTCGGTCATATTCCCAGATGTGCGATGATATGCAGTCCCCCATGTATTTAACACAAAAAACCCGCAAGCAGCGTCTATTCCTTCCCGTCAGTTTTATGTAGCGTCGTGTGTTAAGCTTAACGAGATTTATTCGTCAATCTTTACCGTTGTTTACCCCAAACAAGGAAAGGCCAGCCTGCCCTGCGTGTGAACCACCTCATCAGCGATTAACAACGGAATCAGAAAAAATGGAAATCGATTCCGCTCCAGACTTTACTTTCAACAGGGCAAAGTTTAGTTTCGGTTCTCCCAAGATCACTGGATCTCCCGTTTCGTTTTTGTTTTTTTTTTCCTGATCAGACGGGAGGCTGTGCGGAGCAACCGACCATCTTCTCTTCTCTCTAAAATTTAAAGAAAGCCTTGATAGTCGTTCGTTAGGAAAAGGAGATTCAATCGTTTTCACTCCCACGCCTGATAATAACGCTGCAATCATGAGGTAAGAAAACTGATAATAACAGAGCGACCTTTTTGTTGTTGTTGTTGAGGGTCGTATGTTGCATTTCTGGCTTTGATTGCTCATCCCGATTTGGCCTTGTGGCTTCAAGTCGAATGATTTCTTAGCCTTAGCGGGTTTTTTCAATGTCAAAAGTTGTTCCATCATGGGGAGCTTTTTGTGGCGCTTGGATTGCGATTCCAAATGAGCGGCCTCTAAAAGATTAGGGCGGCTTACAAGGCAGTTTCTTTTCGTTTTTTTATCTCTGCAAGAACTAACCCTGAAAGGTAGGCTGAGTTGGGAGAGAATGGACTCGTCCATCCTGTTAGGGCTTTTCTAAGACACAAAGACCGTCATTGGTTTTTACCACACTCAACTGTGGGAAGTCAGCTCCCCCAGAAAGAAATATTTTTGAGAATATTAAAAGGCAGAATATTATATTTCCCCAAAGGATGGATCTTAAAGGCAGAAACCAACCCCCCCCCCCCAGTCTCTCTGCCCCAAACAGAAACCAGGTCTGCAGAAATGCAGATGTGATAATCTTGTCAGAAAGATTGGAGCCAGGAAGCTTGGATTAGAAAGACAAAGATCCCTACAACAATCCCTCACACTAAAAAATCTAACACAGGACATAGTCATCAGCCACAGCCCCAGCTCCAGGGAAGCAGGATATGACCCTTGGGACATAATAGGATTAACCCACCACTATCAGAATACCAGAAAGGCACACTCAGACTCAGGTCAAAGTTCATGCCACAGAAACAATTCCAAACAAAAGCTCAAGAAGGTATAAAAACCCACCACTCCAGGCATGTCAAACTGCCGGTGGGCTGGATGTGTCACGTCGAAACCGCACCCATCCCATTGCGGCAATGGGGAAAAAGTCCTGATACGTTGTGCGATATCATGTGATGTCAAGAGTTTGACATGCCTGCACCACTCCATACTACATGTGGTCACTTTTCCCAGAGCCATCTTTCTGTCTGGCTCTCCTCTTCAATAAACTGCAACCTTCTTTCTAAAGCAGTCTCCATTTTGATTATTCCTGGCTTGGACTGGACCCTGATGAAGATTTTTCTTTCTACATAACTGTACAAAATTAAGCTCCTGTTTTGTTCTACCATCTCCCTAGTCCAGTGATGGAGAACCTTTTAGAGACTGAGTGCCCAAATTGCAACCCAAAACCCACTTATTTATCGCTGGGTGCCAAGTGGGTGTGGCCCACTGGGTGGGCGTGGCTGTGGTGCTCATGGCAGAATGGGTGGGTGTGGCCAAGGTGGGTGTGGTCACCTCGATGTTCCTCGTGGGCAGGGACTCCTGTGGGGGCCAGACAGGGTTGGGGGAGATCCAGGGGGTCTCTGGCGGGAGGGACAGTGGGCAGGAGGCTCATCCTGCAGGGCAAGGCGAGGCGAGGCAGGGCGGGGTGCCATTGTCGCAGGGCAAAGCGATGCAGAGGCCAGGGCAGCTGCTGCCTGACACCATCGGCCCCCGCACACAGAGGCCAGCGAGTGCATGGGGGCCAACGGTGTCTGTCAGCAGCTACAGCCTGCTGGCCTCTCAACTGGCGCACTCTAGGGCTCTGCAGCCCGCTGCCAGCAGTTCAGAGAAGCAGCTTCTGAGCTGGACGGCCGGCCAACAGCTGAGGAGGCGATGCAGTGGGTCGTGCCCGGGAAAAGGAGAGCATGCGAGGCCAGGAGGGATGGGATGGGGGGAGGCAAACCAGCCGTGCTGGGATGCATCTGGCCATGTGGGACCTCAGTGAGTTAGCGGGCGGCTGCTTGAAGAGTGATGGTTGCCATCTCCAGGACATAGCGCGAGTGCCCACAGAGAGGGCTCTGAGTGCCGTCTCTGGCACCCGTGCCATAGGTTCGCCACCACTGCCCTAGTCCTATATTAAGTTCACAACTCTTTCCATTACTAGATCTATGTTCTAGTAGTTGTATGTACCTATTCCTAAAGTTTGTAGCACTGTTTTCTTACCGTAACTATCTCTTAGACCAGTGATGGCGAACCTTTTAGAGACTGAGTGCCCAAAAACTGGCCCCACCCTGCTCCACCCCCTGTCCCGCCCAAACCTCGCCTGCCCGCAGGGCCACTCATCACCTCCAGGGCCCACCGCAGATCGCCCAGCAGCGCCATGGCAGCCACGCCTTCTGCCCTGCAGCATCAACTGTGCGCAATGGGGCATGAGGGCAGAGTCTCGTCTACACTGCCTGGCTGCCGTGTCCTTGGCTGCACTGCTCCGCATAGGCCACACTCAGGGTTGACTCTTCTCCAGGAGGGCTGCTGGTGAGGAGGGGGTCATGGGGGGAGGCAAGGCTGGGGCAACGGCACGTGTGCCCACAAGAGAGGGCTCCGAGTGCCACCTCTGGCACCCGTGCCATAGGTTCACCACCACTGGCTTAGATCTTTAAAGCATTCCTCTTCCCTCAGTCTACAGTTCTTAGACCCAGTCTCAGTCCATTTGCATGTGAAAACCCTTTTCACTCTTTTATAGACTTGCAAGTGGGCTTTTCTGCTCTCCTGCATCACTCACTCATATTTTATCTCCTGTCTATAAACAACATTAACTTTAAGATGTCTGCCTATATAGACAGATTCTGTTTAAAAGATGTTAAGGAAGGGGAACAAGTTGTATATGACAAGACAGAGCCTGATCTGGAAGTGTATTTAAAAGTGATACGCTACAAGAATAATATGGAAAAAGGACTGGACATACAAAAAAAACTGGCTGATGTCTTAATTGGAAGGAATATGTAAATAACAAACCAACAGAGTGACAGTATGTCCAGTGTTAAAATACTTTGCTTAATTCTGTATTAATAAGTCAAATTAAAGTGTTCTTCTCCTTTAATTGTAAACTATTTTTGAGTTTTCTCCCTTTTTTAAATAATTAGAAACAAAAGCATTTTCTTATGGGAAGGATTGTTATAGTTAATCTATCTGGACCTTTAGTCCATTTGTAACTTTCCAAAATCAAAGTTGTAATAATCTTTTGCTGTTTATTCCCAAACGTGCATTTTTAAAAAGTTTTTAAACTTGCTTTTAAAAAGTTTTTAAACTTGCATTTAAAAATTTTTCCGCTAAGGATTGAAGGAAACTCATCTGGTACTTTTAGATTTGTTGAACCAAAGGTTCCTAATAGCTAAAAAGCAGTCAGCAAGCAATTCCCAAAAGTGTTTAGAAAAATAATAATGCATATCTAATGTCTTTAAATGCACAAAATGGGTTTGAAAAAGATGGCTTGTTTCCCAGTGCTCTAAACAGTTAGAGATTGCAGTCTCCTTATTTAGAGGAGCATCTGTCTGGAGCATTTTGTGAATGATCTCCAGTGCTCTACTTTTCTGCTTTTCAGCTCTTTATTTCACTTCATAAAAACACAGGCATATTCAGAATACTATTTCTTTGCTGGAAAAAAATTACTGCAACTACTACTAATTCCTTCCTGTAATCAAGTAATATTTAAAAAGTACAAAAATGCATCATTTAAGTTTTGTTTTTTAAATCTCCCATTATCACTGATGATAGGACTATTTCTTATTTTCACAATGTAAATGTCTCTCATTGTCTTTTCTTTTGTCCTGTAGTTTCCTCTCCCAGGAAGATTTAAAGGAGATTCTCCAACAAATTGAATGCCATTTTACATGGATGTTGCAGAAAGAGCATATTGATCCCGATGAATTGGAGGAAAGAATTGCTGAGCAGATCCAGTTCTTAATCAATAAATCCAAAGTTCTAAATTACAACCTTCTTGCCTATGTGAAATTCCTGAACGACAAGAAGGAAGAAGCACTGGAAAACTTACAGAAAGCTGAAGAGACTGTGCCCGTAGAGTATCCTGGGGATGTTGAAAAGAAAAGCCTGGTTACATGGGGCAACTATGCCTGGGTGCACTACCACATGGGCAATCTTACTGAATCCCAAACCTACATGAAGAAGGTAGAAAGCATCTGCAAGCAACTTGGAAGTGCATCTCCTTATAAGATGGAGCTCTCACAGATCTACTGTGAAAAGGGTTGGGCCCTTCTAAAATTTGGAAGCAGATATTACGAAAAGGCCAAGGAGAGCTTTGAAAAAGCACTGGAAAAAGAACCAGAAAACCCAGAATTTAACTCAGGTTATGCAATCACAGTATACCGCCTGGAAGATTATTATGCAAAAAAACATTCAGGAATAGGCTCTTCATTGGAACCTTTGAGGCTTGCAGTAAAACTGAATCCTGATGATGTATTTGTTGTTCCTCTTCTCGCATTAAAGTTACAGGAAATAAACAGAGTGAAGGAAGGAGAAAAATACATTGAGGAAGTGCTTAGACGATATCCTGATGTTCCTTATGTATTAAGGTATGCTGCCAAATTTTACAGAAAGAAAGGAGATGTAGATGCATCATTGCAACATTTGAAGAAAGCACTAAGCTTAACCCCAAACTCTGGATTCTTGCACCATCAGATTGGGATTTGCTATAGGACACAATACTTAGCTTTGAAAAAAAAAGGGTCAAAAAACAAATTTCAGTCTCTTCTAAAGCAGTTTGAACTAATGAAACTTTGCATTTTTCATTTCCAGAAAGTAGTGGAGTGTAAAACCAAGTTTGTCTATGCTTATATTGACCTTGCTAACATATATGCAGAACAAGGGCAGCTGTGGGAAGCAGATCAAACCTTTCAGAAAGTGTTTGCCATCAGCAACCTAACTTCTACGGAGAAGCAGCAACTCCATTTTAATTATGGGCGTTTTCAGGAACGTCACAGAAAATCAGAAATGAACGCTATGAAACAGTACCTGGCTGGACTGAAAATTGAAAACACTTCATTTGAACAAAAGAAGTGTGAAAGGAGCTTGAAGCAATTGTTAGATAAGGCAGTTAAGAAAGGTACAAAATGTGTTGAGATATTCAAAAGCTTGGGATTCTTCTACCAACACCTTGGATTAAAAGAGAAAGCCATTGAAGCCTACGAAAAAGCCCTGGAAATGGATCCTACGAATGAAGAGTATCTGAGTGCAGTTATGAACTTGAAGCTTTCCTTGGAAAGCTAAATTTATGTTATTTTTCAAAAGCACGTGGTTTCCAAATATTTTTAGCTTTGCACTTCATGCCATGTCAAAGACCCAAATAGTTAGCATTTACAATTGCCTTGAACTAGAGCACTTACATCTCTGCTATGTTTTCTTTGAAATATATTTAGAAGAATATTAATTTCTAATAAGGCCTTATTAGAGTATTAAAAGTTAAAACATTAAAATTAACATCAAGCAAGATAAAAAAAGAAACAACGTATAAATAGGGTGGAGGTAGAATCTTACAATGATGCTCTGTAGCTTCAACTAATCCTTGCAGAAGCTGGAATGTCTCTGCATGTACCCCATTTTACCACTGAGCCGTGATGGCGCAGTAGTTAGGATGCAGTATTGTAGGCTAATTCTGCTGACTGCTACTAGTAGTTCAAGTCTCAATGGCTCATGGTTGATTCAGCCTTCCATCCTTTCGAGGTCGGTAACATGAGGACCCAGATTGTTGGGGGTAATATGCTGACTCTGTAAACCGCTTAGTCTGTGGTATTGTTATGGTATTGCTAGTGCTATTTAATCTGCTTCAAACCCGGCTGCTCTGCGTCCGTCAGAAAGGGAAGGGGTCTTTGAATGAATTAGCTTTGGGCATGGGAGATCACTTAAATCATCAAACTAAAACATCACATAGCCTAATCTGCAGGCATCCTGAGTCTTATATTTATCCTGCAGTTCTATATTCTAATTGGTTCCCTGGACAAATAAGTTTCAGTACCAGTACATCTGCAGGATGCCAAGTTGGACTTTCCTGTCAGGACAAAGTAATGGATTATGACACAGGCATAAATATGACTTTGCGACAAAAGCTAAAATTTTCAGAGGATATTTTTCTCTTGAATTACATACCTAGTATATGGAACATGATAACTATTGATTCTCCATGCTCTTATGGCCACAAGACTGATACTGCAGCCTTGGAAAGATAAAGGAATAGCCACATTCATGTAATGGATTGAAGAGCCAATTATACTTGCTACCTATAAGTGGATTGCCTATAGACATAGACTTGGTGTGGACAAGTACAATATAATATGGGACTCATTTATGCTAAATATAGTAGGCATGATAGTTATATATGTGTATTAAATATGTATGACTTGAATAATAATATACTTGTATTCTTTTAACCTCTTATAGTAATATGTTTTTTTCTTTGACAATGTTAACTTATTGCTATCATAAGTATCTTTTAAATAATAAATAAGTTGGTCTTACAGGTCTCTTATGGCCATTAAAATGAAAAATACACACAGTAATCTATGAAACATCTGGTTCTGCTGAACAAAAGTAAAATATCCTGGCCTTTGAATTCTTCAAAGGGGCACCTGCAGAAAGTCGTAATTGCTGTAACTAAAAAGTATATAATCTGGACAATAGCTTTATGGAAACTCCTGCTTAATTGTTGGGTTGTTCATAAATGAAGATGCTATCACAAATAATTAAGGTAATTGGCTTCAAGTTCAGTTCAAGTTTGGTTCCCAGTTACTTTATGAATACATCCATGTGGTTTTCTTTGCAACTGAGGAAATGATTTCCCATTGCTTCTCTTGGGATTCTATTTACCTTCTGAGTCTAGCCTAGTCAGGAGGCTAGGGAGAGTAGCCTCCCATTCAAATACCAACAAAATCTCATTTTACCATTTTGTGATTAACCAAAGTCAGCTGCAAATCTTCATCTGATTGCTGAGTTCATAAGCAAAGACACCATCACAATTAATACAGGTCTATACATTTTTATTTATTAATAAATGGGCGAAGACCTGCAGTTAATAGGTAGGCATAGCAAAGCATGAAGAGAATGGCAATTCAGTTTGTGTGTGTGTGTGTTTGCTTCATGTTACTAGAACAATATTCCTAAGGTGAATGTTTGCCACTAAGTTAAGGGAGTTAAAAAGATACGCACCTGATACCATGCATCATGCATATTCCATATTCATGGGACAGGTTTAGAATAGATGTTCTTGGCTCTGAATGGCATAATTTTGACTATGATGAGCCAGTGTTCTAAATGGGTATAACATTCCACTAACCTGGTCTTGAATGAAGGTAAACAGAGGAGTCCAGAGACCAAACAGTGCATTCTAACTTTGGTGCTGCATAGCTTACCCTGCACTGTGAAGTTGCTTCAAAGTGTACCTTTGAAGTTCTTGAAGGAAAGAGGTAATAAAACCTGGGCTCCTTTTGTGCATCCACAATTGTGGGATCTCTCCCACAGGATTGCTCCCCAAACTAGAATATCTGGACTTTATTTATTGCTTGGTTTCCTTATTTGTGGCCTGTCTTATTAGAAATCATGGAGAAGGCCTTTATTTCTCTACCAAAGTCACTAGTTGCTGGAAGGCTGGTTTGCAGGAAAATGATCACAAGGAAGACATGTTCTGATAGATCTGGACAGGGGCTCATTACTCACAAATGGCCACCTCTGGTCAGATCAATTGTAGTTTCTTAGCAAAGATTTGCATAGTGTCACACTTGTTGGCCAGGTTGTCATCTTCTTCAGTCAATTGGCAAGTTGCTGTTTTCCTTTCTTACAGGAAAGCTGTAGGGAGGATCCTTGGGGCGTGTATGACATTATACTTCAGGTATCATAAACAAGCTTGTAATCTCTTTTATGAAATTAGTGAGTGATTTGGATCTGTCTCCATCCTATGAGTGGTTAGGATTAATGACACAATGGCTCATTTTTCAATATAGCTACCAAAGTTTGATGCTATTTGTGTCTCTTTATTTCCTGATATTTGAGGTGAAGGAACAAAAGTCTTTCTATGAGACAATGTAAGATTAGGAAAGATCTGCTGAAAGCTGTAACATGGGTTGAGTGTGTGAACAATTTTGAAAAGAGAATTCCACTCGTTTTTATGCAGATACAGTGACAGTTCAGTGCTGTGTTAAAAGTGGGAACCACAAGTTATAGTCTTTGCCTTAGACATGAAGCCTGCTGGGTGGCTTTGAGACAATCATTCTCAGCTCTAGAAAGAAGGTACTGGCAAGCCACTTTTGAAAGTGTTGCCAAGAAAACTGCAGGGACTTGTTCTAGCAGTCTCCAGGAATCAGGGCTGTCTTAATGGACCATAAAAATAACGATGGTATCAATGCTCGTGAATCATAAGCACCACAGAGAATCTCTACACTAGGCAGTGAATAGAAACTTTCTGGGGAGGTATAGGACAGGGATCCCCAACCCCCGCTCCGTGGACCGGCACTGATCGGCAGCAGGCCACCAAGTGTGCTGCATAAACAAGCAAAGCTCCATCCTCAGGATGCAGGCAGTATTCAAAACCACACCCCCTCTGGTCCACGGAAAAACCTTTGTCCATGGTACCGGTCCCTGGTGCCCAAAAGGTTGGGGACCTCTGGCAAAGGGACTTAACCTTCAGAGTTTTGTTGCTGCTTCCCTTGAGACATTTGATTGTCCTCTGAAGAATAGGTTGGCATTTGTGGACCTTGAAAATGAGCTTCACAAACCCAGTTTTGTGATGAGCACATCTTGCTTTTTTTGTATCAAGCAAAATACAAAAAAAAAGAGCAATACCTCTTCACATTTTTGTATCAAGCATCTGTTGTATATGTAACTCCTGGAGCATTTGCACTTCCTTCTGGCTGAACAAATTTTATGCTTAAGCTTTCCTAACTCTTGAGTACCTAAAAGTTCCGAAAGTGCAGATGTTTACCTAGAATTCATTTCTTTTGGGCAATTAACTTTGACATATTTATAAAAGAGTGCTGCAATCCACCTTGAAGGAAATGGTAATGCATCTTTTCCTTTTCCTTTTC